ACTGGCAGACTTTGTGTCATTAGGTTGTATACGAGGGACTATTGATCAGCTGCCCGATCATAATGAGTTCACGTGCTAGGTGACGCCAAACATGCGCATAAAAAAGTGTTTTCACACTCATCGCTTGGCTTATAGATGGCGCTGACTGTCACTCCTACATCTAAATTCACATTTAAACCCAAAAAAGTGGATGAAGGGAAGGCCGCTGTGGCAGCTCAGTGCTTAGAGCATCGAACGCGTTATTCGAAAGTAGTAGGTTCGATTCCTGCTCACGGCTGGTTATTTCTTCATCAACTTTTCTTCTTATTTACATTCCATTGGTTCTAATAACTTCTCCTGTACAATACTTGGCATTACTGTCTGTTAATCTCATTATTATTGTGTTAAAACACGGAAAAGAGCCCTTAGCTATACACTTCTTTCCCTTATTTCCATTAAACGAGGGTACTCGTACTGGCAGACTTGGTGTCTTAGTTGTATACGAGGGACAATTAATCAGCTGCCCGCTCATAATAAGTTCACGGTGGCTACGTGACGCCAAACATGCAGCATAAAAGAGTGTTTTCACACTCGTCGCTTGGCTTATAGATGGCGCTGATTTCACTCTACTTCTAAATTCACATATAAACCCAAAAAGTGGATGAGGGAAGGCCGCTGTGGTAGCTCAGTGGTTAGAGCATCAAACGCGTTATTCGAAGGTCGTAGGCTCGATTCCTGCTCATAGCTGGTTATTTTTTCATCCACTTTTCTTCCTATATACATTCCATGGTTCTAATAACTTCCGCTGTACATTACTTGGCATTACTGTCTGTTAGATCTCATTATTATTGTGTTTAAAACACGGAAACGAGCCCTTAGGTATACACTCTTTCTCCTTATTTCATTGAACGATGGTCTCGTACTGGCAGACTTGGTGTGTTTAGGTTGTATACGAGGGACAATTAATCAGCTGCCCGCTCATAATAAGTTCACGTGCTACGTGACGCCAAACATGCGCATTAAGAGTGTTTCACACTCGTTCGTTTGGCTTTAGGATGCGCTGACTGGTCACTCCTACTTCTAAATTCACATATAAACCCAAAAAGTGGATGGAGGGAAGGCCGCTGTGTAGCTCCGTGGTTAGAGCATCGAACGTTATTCGAAGGTCGTAGGTTCGATTCTGTCACGGCTGGTAATTGTTTTCATCCACTTTTCTTTCTCTTTATTTACATTCCATTGGTTCTAATAACTTCCCCTGTACATTCCTTGCATGGGGGGGACTTATCTGTGATATCACATTTAATATTTGTGTTAAAACCACGGAAAAACGAGCCCTTAGGTATACACTTCTTTCCCTTATTTCATTAAACGAGGGTCTCGTACTGGCAGACTTGGTGTCATTAGGTTGTATACGGAGACTATTAATCAGCTGCCCGCTCATAATAGGTTCACGTGATTACGTGGCACGCCAAACATCGCATAAAGGAGTGTTTGGCACAACTCGCTGTTCGGCTTATAGATGGCGCTGACTGTCACTCTCACTTGCTAAACTTCACATATGAAACCCAAAAAAGTGATGGGAGGGAAGGCACGCTGTGGTAGCCTCAGTGGTTAGAGCATCGAACGCATTCTTCGGAAGGTCGTATGTTTCAATTCCTGCTCACGGCTGGTGATTTCTTCATCACTTTTCTTTCATCCTATTACATTCCTATATGTGCTAATAACTTCCCCTGTACACTTCCGTTGCATTACTGTCTGTAAGATCTCATAAATATTGGGTTAAATACACACAAAACCGAGCTTTAGGTGTACAATTCTTTTCCCTTATTTCAATAAAACGAGGGTCTTTTTACTGGCATACTTTGTGTCATTAGGTTGTATACGAGGGACTATAGATCAGCTGCCCGCTCATAATAAGTTCACGTGCTAGGTGACGCCAAACATGCGCATAAAAGAGTGTTTTCACACTCATCCTTTGGCTTATAGAAGGCGCTGACTGTCACTCCTACATCTAAATTTACAGATAAACCCGAGAAAGTGGATGAAGGGAAGGCCGCTGTGGTAGCTCAGTGCTTAGAGCATTGAACGCGTTATTCTAAAGTTGTAGGTTCGATTCCTTCTAAAAGCTGGTAATTTTTCATCCACTTTTCTTCTTATTTCCATTCCATTGGTTCTAATAACTTCCCCTGTACATTACTTTGCATTACTCTCTGTGTGATCTCAATATATTGTGTTGAAACACTGAAAAACGAGCCCTTAGGTATACACTTCTTTCCCTTATTACAATAAAACGAGGGTCTTTTACTGGCAGACTTTGTGTCATTAGGTTGTATACGAGGGACTATTGATCAGCTGCCCGCTCATAATGAGTTCACGTGCTAGGTAATGCCAAACATGCGCATAAAAGAGTGTTTTCACATTCATCGCTTGGCTTATAGATGGCGCTGACTGTCACTCCTACTTCTAAATTCACATATAAGCCCAAAAAAGTGGATGGAGGGAAGGCCGTTGGGGTAGCTCGGTTTTTAGAGCTTAGAACAAGTTATTCGAAGGTCGTAGGTTCGATTTCTGCTCTCGGCTGGTTGTTTTTTCATCCACTTTTCTTCTTAAATACATTCCATTGGTTCTAATAACTTCCCCTGTACATTACTTGGCATTACTGTCTGTTAGATCTCATTATTATTGTGTTAAAACAGGAAAAAACGAGCCCTTAGGTGTACACTTCTTTCCCTTATTTCATTAAAACGAGGGTCTTTTACTGGCAGACTTTGTGTCATTAGGTTGTATACGAGGGACTATTGATCAGCTGCCCGCTCATAATGAGTTGACGTGCTAGGTGACGCCAAACATGCGCATAAAAGAGTGTTTTCACACTCATCGCTTGGCTTATAGATGGCGCTGACTGTCACTGCTACTTATAAATTCACATATAAACCCAAAAAAGTGAATGAAAGGAAGGCCGCTGTGGTAGCTCAGTGGTTAGTGCCCCGAACGTGTTATTTGAAAGTCATAGGTTCGATTCCTGCTCGTGGTTGGTTATTTTTTTATCCACTTTTCTTCCTATTTACATTGCATTGGTTCTAATAACTTCCCCTGTACATTACTTGGCATTACTGTCTGTTAAATCTCATTATTATTGTGTTAAAACACGGAAAAAGAGCCCTTAGGTATACACTTCTTTCCCTTATTTCAATGAAACGAGGGTCTCGTACTGACAGACTTGGTGTCATTAGGTTGTATACGAGGAACTATCAATCAGCTGCCCGCTCATAATAAGTTCACGTACTACGTGATGCCAAATATGCGCATAAAAGAGTGTTTTAACACTCGTCGCTCGGCCTATAGATGGCGCTAATTGTCACTCCTACTTCTAAATTCACATATAAACGCAAAAAAGTGGATGGAGGGAAGGCTGCTGTGGTAGCTCAGTGGTTAGAGCATCGAACGCGTTATTCGAAGGTTGAAGGTTCGATTCCTGCTCACGGCTGGTTATTTCTTCATCCACTTTTTTTCTTATTTACATTCCATTGGTTCTTATAATTCCCCTGTACACTACTTGGCATTACTGTCTGTTAGATCTCATTAATATTGGTTTAAAACACGGAAAAACGAGCCCTTAGGTATACACTTGTTTCCCTTATTTTATTAAAACGAGGGTCTCGTACTGGCAGACTTGGTGTCATTAGGTTGTATACGAGGGACTATTAATCAGTTGCCCACTCATAATAAGTTCACGTGCTACGTGACGCCAAACATTCGCATAAAAGTGTGTTTTCACACTCGTCGCTTGGCCTATAGATGGCGCTGACTGTCACTCCTACTTCTAAATTCACATATAAACCCAAAAAAGTTAATGAGGGGAAGGCTGATGTGGTAGCTCAGTGGTTAAAGCATTAAATGCGTTGTTCGAAGGTCGTAGGTTTGATTCCTGATCACGGCTGGTTATTTTTTTATCCACTTTTCTTCCTAATTACATTCCATTGGTTCTAATAACTTCCCCTGTACATTATCAGGCATTACTGTCAGTTAGATCTCATCTGATTATTATTGTTTAAAACACGAAAAAACGATCCCTTAGGTATACACTTCTTCCCTTATTATATATATATATATATAAAGATATATATATATATATATGTGTGTGTATGTGTATATATATATATACGCATGCTTTCACTTTTGTATTCATACTAAAGAAGACTTCTGTCAATATATAAGCCCATGCTCTACAACGAGGCTTCGACAATCACGCTAACATGCTTAAAGTCTTTCTGATGATTCACGCAGTGCCATATTGCTATAGATCATAATAAACTCCAACAAAGCTGCCTAAGATTCTGTTTTCACATTTTTCAGAGGTTTTGTGGCTAGTAAATACACTTACACCAGATTTCTACCCCGACAAGCATAACTAGCAAGCATAAAATGCCCTCAATGCATACATTGTGTACAACATTACACATCTTTAATAACCGGTAGACAACATTTCTTATGAGGATACAATCCTATCATCAAAAGTGAAAACCGATTGATTGATTTGTTGGGTTTAACGTCCCAAAACCACCATATGATTAAGGTAAAACTGTTTAAAACTTGCATTGAAAGCTGCCAAAGTTGGTCAGTCTCTCCGTCTGTCTTGTCAAAGTTTATTCAGCATGCAGCACATAACCAATGGCTTCAGCAATGCACGAACTATCTCATTTTATTGAGTTTCTTGGTTGTGCACTGCATAATGCAGTTGTTTTCAGCCAGTGATTAGGTATATCGGCGATGAAAGCTAACACGCCCAATTAAAAGACATGGCCTCTATAAAGGTGTTTTAACGTAGGTTTTGCCAACTATAGCGGTAATCTGAACGAGTGTTGAAATAAACTTCTTTTTTGTGTATGACCAGATTGTGCATGTTCCACTTGAACATTTATTTAAGTCAGATGAAAGTGGAAACATCTATTTTCGACTGCCAATGTGGATGAAGTTTAAGTGAAAGCATGCGAGAGCGCATTGGCCTGTTATGGTCTTACATTTCGGTGAGTCATGATGAATCCAGGCAATAGAAGTTCAGAGATCGAGGTGTCTTTGTCCGTGCGGATGAACAGGCTACAGTACTGAGCTCTGATATGCTCTGTGCCGGAGTCGTCCCTTACGACGGTTGCAAGGCACTCGTCGAAAGATCCCAGCTCGGTAGAGGTTCCCGTGAACACGCCGGTCGGTATTTTTCCGGTAGAGTCGAACACTGCATCGACACAGGCAAGGCACTTAGAACACTGTCATATCATGCCAATGCTACTTCAACTCACAATTGAATACTTTCTGAACTAAAGAAATCATTGCATGTAGTAAATGAAAATCGATCGAAAGGTGTGGAAAGTAAGCGCGATGTTAGCCCATGGTAATGTAAATGAAAGGAAACTGCATATTTTTGTTACGGCACACTCTCACAGCAAACTGCTTATGTTCGAATCGATTATCCAAATGCATACACCCAGGACTACTTAATAAACAGGTTCACTTTTGTTGTGATTGATAGGAACAGCAGTGTAATACTTTATTTTTTCAACATATGCAGACTAGGGCTGTGCAACGCCGCGCCACGCCGCCGCTGCCACCAGTTTTTATTCGCGCCGTTCGCCCCGCCACCGAAGTTTCGAGGAAGACCATGCCACCGCACAATATTTTGCAGTGTGCCGCCGTTTGTCTTATTTTTATCCGAGCGCGGAATCTGGGCATAAAATACATCACTAAACCTGCTTTTCTGCAGCTTTATATTTTTCTAAAGCGGCCTTTGCAGTGTCGTGACTGCTCTTTTGTTTCCCTGTTTGGATGCGCTATCCATGTAGGGCCCTAAAGCAGCTTCTGAAGATACACAGACGAGCATGTTATTCCCTCTCGGTGTTTCTGCTTCTTTCAGCACCATTTGTGAGGCCATAACAGTGATGTACATGACATAATTAGGGTATATACTCTAGAATGGTTCATGTACAAGAAATGTGAGTTGTAAATTTTCTACCCTGCTGTGCCACGCATTCGGCATGCACCATCGCATTCTTCCTCGCGTCTCACGGGATCAATATGTGCGATAAACTTGTGATTTTGCTGCATTTCTTGTAAGTTTTCTATTGCGCAAGTGGTAAATAATAAGAAGAGTGTAGCCGGCAAGTTCATTATCCTGATTAGCTAAACACTTAGCGCTCACATTGCAGACAGGCTTTATGATGACATAAACGTCAAAGAGCCTGTGAGAATTGTAGCGAATAGAACGTAGTCCAGTTTACTTTTGAGCAAAACTAAAACAAAAGGCTCCAAAGTATTTTATTCCTCAACCAATGAATTCATCACATCAAAGACAACACAGCTTTCCATAACAAGATCCAATCCGCTTCAATAGTCTTCGTATATTTTTTAATAGGAGAACTATATAAACACTGTCTACATGCTTGCATAATCAATGTCATGTTTCGTACAAAATCCATACAGAATATTTTTGTACGCACACTGTGATGCTGTTCCCGCAGATAAAATCTCACGAGCGCTATAGCTAGGAACACTGCTCAAGCATGGATAAAACGAGCTGCCCATCTCCATCGCATGGAGGGTGCATGCGAAAACATCACTCCGCATGCGATGCCTACCGTCGAGAGCTCTTCAACCAGAAAGGAAGCGCTGTCTGTGTTTTGCTGGACGAAGCACTATGAAAGCATACTCAGAGAGGAGGCTGCGTGGCTCGATCAGCATCTGTGAACTTTGAATATAAGCGCCTGGTCGCGAGTGCTAGCACGCGCTAGCGCATTCGCTATTTCAGCACGCATCAGCGAACAGCTCGAACGTTTACGCTTCTACACGCTAAAAGATCACTGAATCTTCCCTGTTTATTTTCCCGGAATCATCCGTATTCCCGTAAACTAGCGTTTTGCAGTTTCGCGAGATCAGATGAAAAAGTGTTAGCTGCAGCCTAAGTTCATTAAGAGATTGCGAGCTCTTATCGAATGATGTAAATTATCAAGTCATGGAAAAGTTTTCTGACCGTATTACTGTTTAAGTAACCTCAGTCTTAGCGTGTTCTCCTCAAAGACCTGAGATCAAAAAACTTTGTTGAACTTTCCAAAAGTACGTGACACTTATACTGGACACTTTATCCTCATATTTTGAGGAATCTGAATAGTGTAGTGACTTTCCTAATAGAAATGTGCTTCTTTTCAATTTTCGTATAGTTAATATGAAAATATGTGACATACAAATAATTTAATAGTAACTCGATGCACTAATGCTACCAAAAAGCTTTATTCTGACATTCGTGGCATAAAGCCCATACGTAAAAATCGTCATTCTAAGTGTAATGATAAATTGCTTCTGAAGTTATTAGATTAAAAAGCAAATAGAACGTACAATCCTGAGGCTAATCAATGCCTATAGCTTTAGACATGCCTTCGCTACACTCCCAAAAAAAAATTCATTCAGGTCCTTAAGTTCGATTGCTCCTCCATAGTCTGTGCCCAGATTGTTTTTTTCTTTATGACCAATTCTCCTCAAATCCGGAAGCTATAGTAACAGCGTTTAATATTTATTTCAAACCTCTTTGTTTTCTTACCGATAACAGCATTACTGCTTCATTTTCCGCGGGCAGCAAACTACCTGCTCTTTTTAATCTTGAATTGAGATCCGCTGGAGTGCATAACCTAATAGTATTTTGAACTTACGATACACTCTTACCCAGACAATAGCCAAAATAAATTTCAAAAACGGTATTCAGTATGGTGTGCTCATTATGTCAGTGTAAAATTTTGAAAAATATGACTCTCTGCCGCAATCTCTCAACTGTGTAAATTAGCAAAAGTTGTGCGCTGAAGTCAGGAAACAAGCAAACAGCACATTATAGGCAAGTATATTTGCTTTATATGCAGACTCCAAACCTATGGGGCATACATCAGCAAACACTATGTAGAATGCCTAAACACACACAAAATATTTTCCTGATCGCTACATAGATGCTTCAATTTAAGCACGACATTGTAGTTTCCCTTAACGACCACAGACAGACTTATGTGATATCTATTGTCTATTCTACCCGCCTCAGTGGTCTAGTGGCTCGGGTACACTCAAAAAGTTTTACTCCCCTAAATGTGTAAAACGGGTGTACGCATTAAAAGCACCTATATGAACACACTTTTCACACTTCATTTTTAAAATTTAAGGTGTTTGTGAATAAAGCATCCTCAAAATACCCCATTTACACCATTATATATGGGGTGTTAAAAACAAGGCCACAAATGATTGATTGATTTAGGTGGTTTAACTTCCCAAAACCACTATATGTTTATGAGAGACGCTGTTGTGGAGGGCTCCGGAAATTTCGACCACGTGGGGTTCTTTAACGTGCACGCAAATCGGAGCACACGTGCCTACAAGGCTACGAATGCACGACACTTTCGGGCAGTTTTGCTTATACTTTTAGTAGACATTAACCATCTTGACACCAGCTAAGCTCCTACTACTAGATGCTTGCGGGTCTAGTCATGAATCGAAGGAGGAAGTAATGTGAGCGAAACGCAGTTTTTATCGATAAAGCGCGCAAACTACTATAAGACGGAAGATACAATAGGAGCACCGCGTGTTCAATAGAGTAAGAGCCGAATCTCCTGTATCTGTTTCTTTCTTCTGTGTCATTTGCATGATTAGTCAACACTCATAAAGTGCACTGATTTGCCTGAACAAGGCAACGTTGCGCACATTGGTGTAGCCATGCATAAAACAATCCCCTTTCCCCCGTCTCCCATAAGATCGAAGCTTTTAAAGCTGAAGATAACAAGTCCGCCACCTGCAAAAAAAGAACAACAGCACAGTTTACAAGCTATAACCACCACGTCAGCATGCCGTCAGGTCCCACAAAAACGAACATTGGCGTCATGTATTTTTAGCAGGCACGTTTTATTTACTACTGTAGCAAATGTTCTTCTTCATGTGTCCCCAAAGGTGCGTCATGGAAATTAGGAAGAGGACACCGACCATAAAGAAAAATGCAGAATAAGGACATTTCGGTGACCTTGACGTAGCCTTGCTCACACTGACGGGAGCTTTGTTGACTAAATTGCGAACAAAGCTCTCCTCAAGGGAGCCGAAACGCATTCTCTAGTTCTCTCTCTCTCTCTCTTCATTTTTTGCGGATCCCCTTCCTTTAATTTTTGTAACTTCCCCAGCAGGCGTGCTTCGGTCAAAGCGTTGACTTTGTAGGTAGTGAGAAAACAACACTGATGAAATATTTTCAGCCGCGCTCTTGTTCCAAGTAATACAAGCAAAGTACAAATGTATTGTCGCAACGTGAAGACAGAAGTAGTAGTTAACAGGTTGAGAAAGTAGCAGCAGGCCAGTATTTTTATTTACTGCGCGCCAGAGTGTTCCTCTTCTTTCTTGTTATTGCTTGCTGCATAAAAGCCTGCAGATGCGATTATGCGCTGTCGTCTTCGTCTTCCTAGCAGTACGCACATGGCAATATGTTCTAATTGATTAGTGTGACGGCCGATGCATGCAATGTTGCAATGTCTTTATCGAAATGAAAGTGCTGATAAAATATCACCTACGTGACCCTGAATGGGCAGTCCCTAAAGACCTATAGAGCTAAGCAAAAAGCATCAGCTTAGCTTTTTTTACCAGTATTCACTACATTAGGTCGGTGAAGGTGCGCTAAATATTGCTACTGAATATTACAAATGCACGTTCTGACTAGTAGCTCGTGCTGGCCGCACTGCACCGTCACAATGTTCACTGCAATTCAGGTGCACTGTTAAAGAACGAATACAACGCAACAAATTACTGCCGAAAAAAAGCAGCGCCCGCGTTTTCAGTAGATGTCCGGAGCTAGCGTTAAACCGCATCTAGCCGGTTTGAGAGCGCACCGACACCATGAAGTCTCGTCACCTAGACAACCTTGGCGGCCCGGGATTTCTGCGCTCACGAACTCTAAAAAATGTTACAGCATAAAAGGTGTAAAACGGGTGTACGCATTAAAAGCACCCATAGAAACACCATTTTTACGCCCTATTTTTGAAATTTGAGGTGTTCTGAATAAAACATTCTCAAAACACCCCATTTACATCCTTATAATACGGGTGTAATGAACAAGGCTACAAATAATTTATTAATATGTAAGGTTTAACCACCCAAAACCACCATACGATTATGAGAGACGCTGTAGTGCAGGGCGCCGGAAATTTCGACCACCTGGGGTTCTTTAATGTGCAC